ATTTGCCTAGGTTTTACGGCAACAGACCTCTGGTGATGCCTGGCTCATAGGATGTGCGGCTTTAAAATGTCAGAGAGTAATGCTTCTGGACTATGTCATAACTGGGTAGCATACAGTCCCTGAAAACTTCACAGCAATGCAGCCTGCAATTTGGTGGCAATCAGATGTGTATTGTCTCAGAGCGGTGCCACGTGGAGGCAGGTAGCCTGGCGTGGCTAGGAATCCCCCTCCCCGGCTAACTAACTGCGGCCTCCGCGCGCACGAATGCCAATCGGGGGCTCTACTGTGCCATCGCCTGGCGCTCTGTACGTTCTCTCCTCTCTCTCCTCCTCGCTCTCCAGCTGGGCGATGGATGGCGGCGCACGTTATGTCTGAGAGCGATGCTCACCCTTTACAAAGCTGCGCTATCCTGCGCCGTATCTCTCCTCGCTCCTGCCACCCTCCTCCCAGGCTGTGTTGGCATGGAATGTGACTAGGCCAGGAGGAGGAGGAGGAGGTAGGAGTGGCCAGGTAGGGGGCGGGAGCGATTGGATGGCGCAGCTAGGCGCTGTGTCACACCCTATAGCAACCGTTGGCCTTCAACAGCTGGCCTGCGCCCTCCTCCTCCTCATCCTCGCTTCCTATCCAGCCTGCCTGCAACACAGCTGGGAGGAGGTGGATGTGTGAGGAGGATGAGGGCGCAGGAGGCGCGTAGGCCGTTGTAAGGGTAAATCGGGCTCTGCTTGTCCTCGCCCTCCTCCTCCTCCTTCGACTTCTTCCTCCTCTTTGTTGCAGGAAGGGACAGCCAGGAGGAGGAGGAGGAGTAGAGGGCAGCAGGAGGCAGAGCGATTATTACCGCTTACAACGCCGAGCCTCCTCTTCTCCTGCGCCCTCCTCCTGGCCTTGCCTCCTCGTCTCCATTAGCTTGTCACGTTCGCTGCAACATGCAGGCTGGGAGAGGTAGGAGGATGAGGAGGAGGGCGTCAGGTAGTGCGCGGAGGCCAGGTTGTAAGGTTAAAATCAGGCTCTGGGCCATCCTGGCTCCCTCGGCTCACTCCTCCATCCTCCCAGCTGTGTTGCGTAAAAAAAAAAAAAGGAAGTGGAATTGCGCAGGAGGAGGAGGAGGATGAGGAGGGCGTGGCAGGAGGCATGAGCCGATTTTAGCGCGCTTACAACCAAGGCTTCCGCATCCTTGCGCCCTATCGGCGACCTACCTCCGCCTCCTCTGATCCTGGCTGTCACTTGATCCTGGCAGTACACATAGCTGGGTAGGAGGGTTAGATATTGAGGTAGGAGGGCGTCAGTAGCCGGAGGTCAGGTTGTAAGGGTACATCGGGCTCATGCTCTTGCCCTTCCAACCCGGGCCTCCGCCTCCTGCGCCCTCCTCCTCCTCCTCCACCTCCTCCCAGCTGTGTTGCAGGAAGTGACAGCCAGGAGGAGGAGGAGGAGGAGGAGGGCGCAGGAGGCGGAGCCGATTGGATGGCGCGCGCGCGCTCACCCTTACAACGAGCCGATTTTACCCTTACAACCGGCCTCCGGCTCCTGTGCCCTCCTCCTCCTCCTCCTCCTCCTGGCTGTCACTTCCTGCAACACAGCTGGGAGGAGGAGGAGGAGGAGGAGGAGGGCGCAGGAGCCGGAGGCCGGTTGTAAGGGTGAGCGCGCACGCGCCATCCAATCGGCTCTGCTGGGAGGAGGAGGAGGAGGAGGAGGAGGGCGCAGGAGGCGGAGCCGGGGCTTGGCTCACTGGGTGCGCGCTCGCGGCGCCCCTTCGCCCCGCCCGTCCGCCCCATTTACAAAACGAGCGAAAGCTCGTAAATACTCTTGGAGTTGACGTTTCGATATTTTAAAACCCTTCCGGGTTTGAAATATTGTTTTGTTATCGTACCGTAAATGCAAAAATTAACGAATTTAAAACGAAATAACGAATTAACGAATCAAAATCGACAGGCCTACTGGTTACATCCCGTATAGATTACTGCAATGCACTCCACGTGGGGTTGCCTTTGAAGAATCATCCCTAGGTGCCCACCTCTGTCCCACCACAGTGGTAGTACAGAGTCCAGGCTGCCCAGTGTTGCCAAAACCAGTTCGCCCCCTGGACTGCCACCTGTACCTATGCCATATTTCATCATCATAGCAGTGGCCACAAAGCTCCAAAGAGCCCTTGGCAATCCACAGATACTTTTACTAATGTGAGCAAAGGTGCGTGTGTAACTTGGAGAGGGGAAAGGGGTCAGCCGTCTCCTTTCCCCCTTCCCACCTCTGAATCACTTGGGCACCTATGGAGCTGTTTGAAGCTCAATAGCCACCATACAATGATGATGACATGATGCACATAAGTACCACTTCATTTTCCCTGCACTGCAATAAGTGGGGAAAGCAGGGTAGAGTCAATGGCTGTGTGAACAGCACGGCTGCTTTCTTGAGGTTGATTTTAATCCAGATTCTTTCAAAACACATGTTTCACAAAATATTTTTAGAATAAAATATTCCGTGAAATGTGACCCACTACATAAAGTGAAGCTAAATCCCAGTGGACTGTATCATTTAATATATTTACCGATCCAAAAGCTGGACAAGAATATTGGTAAACAGCACAAGAATTTCATTTGGGCCTCATATTCAAATCTACTGTGGAGATTTCTCTCTGCTGGCTAATGCAATGTTTGGAGGACTGTATCATCTAAATTTTCCCATTAATAAATTTTTTGTGATGAAGCTCTTGGCTAAGAAAAATATCAGAATATGTGTAAAATATAGCCTTCTTGGTTGCTGCTCCCAACCTGTGGAATTTCTTTCTATGGGAAGCCAAATTGACCCTTCTGTGCTACCTTTCCGCTGTCAGGCAAAGTCTCCTCTGTTTATCCAGACCTTTGAGTGCCACTTTTATTTTATTGAAAGCATTTTAATTAGGATTTGTTGCATTTGTTTTTTTGCCATCATCACCATCATTGTCATCGTTCTCATCATCATTATCATCACCATCATTATCATATTTCAATTATCTTTCAAAACTCTTTTAAATTAATATTTTAATATGGTTGCTTGTGTAACTTGCCATGTTGTCATGCTCGGGTTTTAAAGCAGGCAGCTGTGCATTTTGAGCTTCTTGTGTTGCCTTCAGAATTCTGAGAAATGTGGTTTAGGGCAGGACCTTTTGAATTTTCGGTTACATAAGTCCTTGCCTTCCCAAACTACATTTCCCAGAATTCTGCAGGTGGCAGAAGAAGCCCAAAAGTCCTGATTTGATAATGTGGTATGACATAGTACTCTAAAAAATATAGAGTTATACATATTTTCTGGGGAAGTACATTGGAAAATATGCATGTAAATAGAATCTTTACTGGGATTATGGAGATGGAGGATCACTGCAAAAATAAGATTGAATGGATTTGTGAATTAACAAATTTAGTGATGAGACGCTAATGAATGGTTATTATAGTAATTGTGTACTAACTGTGTATTAGATTAGGTTATTAACTGTTTTTATATTGGTGCATTGAATTTTGCTGTGTCCTGTGTCTTGTGAACCGCTGTGAGTCACCTCCGGGCTGAGAACAGCGGTATAGAAGTAAAGTAAAGTAAAGTAAATTAATTAATTAATTAACAAATTGGACCTTTTATAGAGAAATTTCTTTATGCTTGTAGATAAACAGTATTTCTTGTTGTTTCTTTGTCAGTGTTGATGTGGAGATTGTCTGGTTTATCAACTCTGGAACATGCAACATATAATTGTCCTTCTTTAGGGGTCCTTTTTAAAATCTATGATATTATATCTGTCATTTATGTGTATATGTTTGTGTGTGTGTGTGTGAATCTTATCTATTTATCTATATCTATGGCTAGATGGCTCTTTGTCAGGAGGGTTTTGATTATGTTTTCTTGCCCTAGTGAAGGGAGTTGGACTGGATGGCCTTAAGGCAGCATTTCTCAACCTGGTAGTCGAGACCCCTAGGGGGGGAGTCATGAAGGGGCATCAGAAGGGGCGCCAAAGACCATCAGAAAACACAGTATTTTCTGTTGGTCACGGGGGCTCTATGTGGGAAGTTTGGCCCAATATAAAAGCATAAATACATAAAGGTTAAAAACAATAACAATTATATAATCACACAACTCATAATCACATATCAGTTTCCAATTATCATAACAGTCGTCAGGTCCAGTTCATGTTCAAGTGCTTCCGTGCCCACTAGCCAAAGGCTTGGTTCCACAACCATGATTTTTATTTTTTTCTGAAGGAAAGGAGGGAGGACGTTGATCTAATCTCATTAGGGAGCGAATTCCACAAGCGGGGGGTCACCACCGAGAAGGCCCTGTCCCTCGTCCCCACCAGACGCGTTTGCGAAGCCAGTGGGATGGAGAGCAGGGCCTCCCCAGCAGATCTTATATCACGAGGTGGAACGTAGAGGGAGATACGTTTGGATAAGTAAGATGGGCTGGATCCGTATAGAGCTTTATGGGCCTTGAAAGTACACCTTGGTTCCTTGAAATGGCCTGGAGATGTGCATGTATTTCTTATCTTTTCATGGTACACCTTATTCAAATATTCAACCTTATTTATAGATGTCCAGCCTGATAGACACACCTGTGAGCTTGGCAATGCTATTGAAAGGCATAATTGCTAGTATTTGCCTATATTTTAAAATCCAGAAAAATAGTTCTTTACATGTTACATATTACTCATGACTGCCAAGTAGTTACACATTTTTGGCATGTTGTTTTTAACATTACTTTTTATAAAATGCAATAAACCGAAATCCCTAATAACATTTTGCTGGAGGACTAACAGATCTACAGCATTATAAGTCATTGTATTGTTTTCTTCAAAAATAAAACCATTGGCCCACATTGCTCAAGAGTAACAGGATGTCCTTTAGTTGTTGTTATACATACTGACAGAAGCTTCCGTGGAACTGAATTCCAAGACACACTCTCCCCTGCTCTGATCTTCCTGCAATGTGCTATTATTTGCACACACCACATTCAGTGCTAACCTTTCTGTTTCTCTTTTTTTTTTGCAGGTGTTTTAGGGAAATGCCGGTATGTCTATTATGGGAAGCATTCGGAAGGCAACCGGTTTATACGGGATGACCAGCTCTGAGGGAGACTGCCTCTGCAAAATGCTTTACACAGGGACACACACACAGCTTCCACCTCTTTAAAAGGAAAAGAAAAAAGGATGCATCAACCAAAGTCCTCCAGTTCCTTCTGCTGACTTTGCCAGACCTGTCAAAACCATCCTTCTGCTTTAGCCTGAGTAGTCACATAGAGATTGACATGATTGCCTCTAAGCAGGTCCCATCCACCAGTGTGACAGACAGCTGCAGCAAAGCACCAGGCCTGACAGGAAGAACACCATGATGGATTGCCCGGCCCAACTGCTGCTCGCCGGAGAGCAAAGGTCACACCTGGGGCCCCACTGAGCATGCTCAGCTGCTTTTCAGAGAAGCCCCCATCTTTATCTGCAGCTTGCCTGTTGAGCGAGAAAACTATCTTTATCGAAAATGGCTGCAGTCTGAGAATTTCAGAGAGCACCAGCTCCTTATCTGTCTCTATTGTCCTCAGGTATCTAATGCTAACACACAAAGTAGATGTATCACATGTAGAACAGCACAGTTCACTTGTTTTTATGTGGGAAACTAATAAAAGCATCTGAAATGTCATTTAACTGCAAATGCTGGGGAAAATGGGTCTTCCTTGACAAAATTCAGGCATGTTTGTATTTTTTCGTAACTTAGCAGCCAAGATAGAAAAATAATTGCGGTAGTAGTTGTTGTGTGATCATTTGTATTTGGGAGTATAGGAACAATAACTGCAAAAGACGGACAGCAGATAGGGATATCGGAGAGTTGTCATGAAAAAATTAATTTGGGGGAAAGAGATTAATTGCACTCCCTATGAGAGAGCACACACATTTGTTTCTACTTCGTAAGTGACATTTGTTACTATGTATTCATCAATATCCAAATAAAGCAAATCCTGTCCCTTGTTTCGCTTTTTGTAAAATCTATGTAACTAAAATGAACCTCTTTCAAAAGCCATTTTAGGGAATATTTTTTAGGCTAAGTTCCTGCACAAGACTAATTAGCTTCTTAAAAATAAAACCAAGTTGTGCCCGAGTTGATGAACAACCATTACCACTTGGGGGAGGAGCCCCCGGTGGCGCAGTGGGTTAAATCCCTGTGCCGGCAGGACTGAAGACCGATAGGTCGGAGGTTCAAATCCGGGGAGAAACGGATGAGCTCCCTCTATCAGCTCCAGCTCCTCATGCGGGGACATGAGAGAAGCTTCCCACAAGGATGATAAAAACATCAAATCATCCAGGCGTCCCCTGGGCAACGTCTTTGCAGACGGCCAATTCTCTCACACCAGAAGCAACTTGCTCCTGACATGACAAAAAAAAAACAACAAACCACTTGGGGGCACATCATTGGTCTCAGGACAGATCATGCCCAAAACAGCTGCCACTGAAACCAGTGCACCTAGGTCTCTTGCTCTTTCCCCTTTTAAAATATTTCGTATTACAAAACGTGGCACTTCATCACAGTGCTCTGAATTTCCTTGATGCACCTCTGCTTGCTTGCTTGCTATTTGCAGGGAAGTGAAATGGGTTTTATGTCCTTACTAAATAGTAACCAGTGACGAGCAGCTGATTTGTGTCTGAGTGGGAAGCAGCCATTTAGCAAGACACAGAACCATCATGTCCTCTACAGGAGCTGGTGAGAGTAGCCTTTTGCATTTGTATAGAATCACTGTTTCTGATTGTTTCATTCGTAAGCCCCCCCCCCCCCCACACACACACCTGTTTTCATTTTCGAGTGCCTCACAAGAATGGGTGTTTTTGTTACACATCTGAAAAAACCAACATTTTCGACCTACTGGCCACTATGGGTGGCTTCCCCATGCTCCCCTTCAGCTCAGTTTTACAGCTAGAGGGGTAAAAATCACTACAAATGGAGGACACATCTACCACTTTTAGCCCATCAAGTTTTATAACATTTGAGTCATCCACCCATTTTTAGGGATTTTTTTCTTTCTATAAAAAAATCTTAAAACATTCCCTCTTTCCCGCTGCTGGCCCTGCCCTCTAACTTCTCCAGGAGCAGCAGCAGGAGGGAGGCTCGGCAGGGCCCCATTCCTTCCTGTCAAATGTCAAAGATGTTTTGCACGTTCCACACACACCCCAGTGCCCAGCCTCACCCCAGTGCCCACCCCCACTTCTTTCTTAACTGGCGGCAATGGGGGGTGATGGAATTCCCCTCCCCTTCCCATTATTTTTGGTAATGGCATGTTTGTCCTTATATCCTTCCTTACAACCTAGATTTAAAGCATCAGAGTTACTTAAGATACCACTCCTCCTGTGATATTTTCCCCTCTCTCTGCAGAAGAGGCAGGACTTAAGATTTATTTATGAGATGCTTTCCCCTTGGTCTGCAGAAGCAAACTGGGTTTAAAGAAAGGTCTTAAGATACCGCTCTGGGGGCTCAGAGGGAAATAGCACACGGTCAAGTGAGGAGCACTACGTGGCCTGAAAAGCAGACAAGGAAACGATACCCACTCCCTCTTTCTTTTCATTTTGTGGGAGGGATTCCCATTTTGTTCTCCCACCCAAAACAAAATGAACAAGATAATGGATAAAATGGGAGAAACAGGTACCATGCACACTTCTAGTTAACAGCCCTTCCCACTATCACCAACTGATATTCCAGAGGCCACTGATGAACAGTTGTGAAGGTGGGCAAAAGCTGCAACAGGTAAGAGGCCACCAATCATCATTGTATCCATGCCATTAGATCAAAACCTGTTCAAATGAAGATTGTATATTGGTTGCTGTGCACCAATCCCTACGCATAAAACAAATTCACACAGAGACATCTTCCAAGCAAACCAAAACTGATAATATTCCCATGGTGATCTGTGAGTGGCGACAGGGGCATGACTGTGAAATCTGGAAGCCCCTAGCTATGGACCAGCCCATGGGCAGTGGATATGCATTCAGTTGTTCTAACCCATCACCAGGACTTACATTTGGAAGACAGCCATACTTGGCCATGAGTGATCGCCAATGATGATGATAATTATGATGATGATGATCTGGAGTAACATTGATAGTTCTGGTCTCTGTTTACATCCTATACTGTAGTGTGGATCGCAACATGAAAAAGCAGATTGGGTTGTTGTAGGTTTTTTTGGGCTATATGGCCATGTTCTAGAGGCATTCTCTCCTGACGTTTCGCCTGCATCTATGGCAAGCATCCTCAGAGGTAGTGAGGTTCGCGATTCTATACACTACCTCTGAGGATGTTTGCCATAGATGCAGGTGAAACATCAGAAGAGAATGCCTCTAGAACATGGCCATATAGCCCAAAAAAACCTAAAACAACCCAGTGATTCTGGCCATGAAAGCCTTCGACAAAAAAGCAGATTATCTAAACTTCTGTGGGGGGTTATCTGTGTCTTAAATAAAGTATTTGAAAACCTTATTTACAACAATCCAAACAAGCCCTTAACATAATACTGCATTTTCTGTAGAGCATCTAACTAGTTATTCATATATGTCTTCATCTATATATATAAATAAATCATTGTATGTACCAGTTTACAAAGATCCATATGACACTGAGTTAAATGAAGAGGACAGAAGTGGCAAAAATATTAATCAATTAGGTATATTCAATTATGATTGAGAAGGTTTAAATCAGATGGCTAGAAGATTGTTATAACATGATCATTTGCAATCACGTTTTGTAAGGAAATCAGTCCATTTCCCAAAAACAACTACCAGCTGCAAGCCATGCTCACTTATATTTGATGAGCTGCTCAGAAGTGTCAGTACATGTTTTGACCATGGCAGAGGAGTTCGAAGCAGGAGTGCTTAGAATAACCTTGTGTCACATTCAGTCTGGTTTGATATCTCTTCTTGAGCACATCAAGGGCTTTTTAACCCTGCCTCAAACAATCGAAATGTACTTGAAAACTGACCACGACTTTTACATTTTCCCTCCCCTCCCCCGTAGTATACTTTTAAAATGTCAAAACCTTATGTATCACTATCAGTAAGGGTTCGCCCCACTTCAGAGGCAAAATTATTTTAGGCATGAATTGTGGTCATGCTTCAATATTATCCTCAACATAATTTGTTTTGAGGTTTGGTTTTGCAGTGCCGCATATAGCAAGTTTCATTACCATCTAGGTCTTCAGCTTAAAGAGTTAACACATATACTTTTTGGTTACAGTGTAATGAAAATTATTGTCTGTCTATGAACAATAAAAGAGCACTCAACATTAGTAATGTAAATTTACATTGACTTCATTTATATAAGAAAAAATTCTCACACATAAAGAGGATTGCAAAAATCTGCACATCATTTGACTTTTTAAAAGAAATTATGAAAGTTTCATTTGTGAGGAAATGATTCATAATAATGTTACACTATAAAATACCAAAAATATTGTAAAAATAGGGGGATGTGAAAATATATTTTTCACGACAAACTCCCTGAATATGCAATTTGACTATTTTTTCATAGACACCTATGTCCACCCTACCCATAGGACCTCCTGGCCAATGTGCCTATAAACCCGCATAGGTGCCAATAGTTAGACTTCTGCATAAAACAGTGGTTCTCAACCTGTGAGTCTCCAGGGGTTTTGGCCTAAAACTCCCAGAAATTCCAGCCAACTACCAGCTGTTAGGATTTCTGGGAGTTGATGGTCAAAACATCTGGGGACCCACAGGTTGGGAACCACTGCCATAAGGGTCTCCTGGCCAATGTGCCTATGAACCCCCATAGATGCCTATATCCATCTAATAATAACAACAGCAACAGCACTAACATTTTGCCATGTGGAAGCATTTCTAATGCAATTCTCGTCAGATTACTGCAGTACTATTGCATACTACAATATTATACTATTATATATTACATTGTTATCACAGTAATATTCTTTTCATGTCACAGATTATTTTAAAACATCATAAGAAGTATCAGAATGTGCTTTGTGGTTTACTGGGGGAAATGCAAAGGAGAAGAGCAAGGAAGGGGAGAAGAAGAAAAGGACTGAAGGAGGAGGGGAGGGAGGAGGAGGAAGAGATAAATAGAAATACCATACCTCTTTACATAGCCCTTTCTTTCAATTTGTACTAACTTATCTTACTCCTTGTACCTTCCCACTGCATCCTTCATCCTTTCTTCACCCCCCCCCCCCCGGGGAGACAGGGCAGGCTACAAATAAATTATTATTATTATTATTATTATTATTATTATTATTATTATTATTTCTTCCCTTGTTTTTACTGCTTCTTGTATTACTCCTGCTGTTATAATACTTTGCTGTTGTACTTCTCTTCCTTCTTGGACTCACCTTGTACCTTCACCACGTTCCCCTCCCTTTATGTGGGAATTCTGCCACCCACCATTGTCATCATCACAGCTACAAGGCTACAACCATTCTTCTCCATCGCCCTTCCATCATTTTATCTCTCCCTCCCTCCCTCTCTTTCTCTCTCTCTCTCTCTCACACACACACCCCTTGCATTCTGCCACTGCACTTATCATCCTCCCTTGCCTGCTTTCTCACCTTGTATCTTCAACATGCTATATTTCCTTGCTTCTTTATTTCCTTTTCCATTTGTACATCTGCTTCTCCTTCCAACTTGACTTGCTGGACCTTGTTCCATACTACCCTGATGTGCAGCCATAACTATAGCTGCACCTCAACCCTATTTTAACCAATTTATTTTCCCCACAACCCCTTCAAAATGCATAATATTACAAAATGGAAGTGGTAATTAAAAACAAGAGACTTCATGGAACCTCAAATACTAATCACTGAACTGTAGTTTTTATCTCTTTTGTTGAAATCCACCATTTGTTTTAGTCCTTTTGTGCAATGGCTTCATCATTTTCTGTACAGTCTTTGCTAGGAACACTGTAAATCAGACTTCCCTGATCTTAATTATCTAGAGTTGTACCACTGACCTAGGGA